AAGACACAAGGCCTTTCCGTTCTTTAATTTCCCCCCCTTTTCTTGTTTGTGGGCCTCTCTTGTAATTTGAGCTGCTTTTCTACCATCTGGACAGATGACCTTTCCCCCGCCAGCCTCGCACTGTTCCCGTTATCGCTTTATGCGGGGTGACGTCGAGCTGCACTGAGGTCTGCATCGTGGTCTGCATCACGGTCTGCACCGTGGTCTGCACCGTGGCTGCATCATGGTCTGCACCGTGGTCTGCATCATGGTCTGCACCGTGGTCTGCATCATGGTCTGCATTGTGGTCTGCACCGAGGTCTGCATCATGGTCTGCACTAAGGTCTGCATCGTGGTCTGCATCGTGGTCTGTACCGAGGTCTGCATCATGGTCTGCACCGTGGTCTGCACCGTGGCTGCATCATGGTCTGCACCGTGGTCTGCATCATGGTCTGCATCGTGGTCTGCACCGTGGCTGCATCATGGTCTGCACCTAGGTCTGCACCGTGGCTGCATCATGGTCTGCACCTAGGTCTGCACCGTGGCTGCATCATGGTCTGCACCGAGGTCTGCACCATGGTCTGCACCGTGGCTGCATCGTGGTCTGCACCGTGGCTGCATCATGGTCTGCACCGTGGTCTGCACCATGGCTGCACCGAGGTCTGCACTGTTGCTGCATCATGGTCTGCACCGAGGTCTGCACCGTGGCCTGCACCGTGGCTGCATCATGGTCTGCACCATGGTCTGCCCCGAGGTCTGCACCGTGGTCTGCACTGAGGTCTGCATCATGGTCTGCATCGAGGTCTGCACCATGGCTGCATCGTGGTCTGCACCGAGGTCTGCATTGTGGTCTGCACCGAGGTCTGCACCGTGGCTGCATCATGGTCTGCACCGTGGTCTGCACCGAGGTCTGCACTGTGGTCTGCATCGTGGTCTACACCGTGGTCCAGACCCAGGCAATCCCACCTCCCGCCAGTACCCGGCCCCACGCACGTGGGGCACAGGGCTGGCGCCGACTCTAACACAAGATATTCTAAGGCTCACTTTGTTCTTTCCTTGCTTCCAGAAATGGAATCGCCATTTCTCCAAGGAACCCTGATTCCTCAAAGTACGTAACAGTATTTTAAAAGCAGGATCTAGGCACTAAGGTCTCGCTATTCTCAGGCCAGAACAGAGCTCGAAAATGCATGTATTTACACTATATTTATCTCTACATCTACTTATATTGAAAATCATGAGTTTACACCAATTCTTCCAACTCCAATCTCACACCACAGGATTCATTGTAGTTTCCTCCTTTACCACATTTTAACTCCCTTCTCTGAGAGTGATAAACTTAGCATCCATTATACTTAATATTCTTAAAATCTATCTTTAGTACATGTACATAATCAATTTCCCAGCACTGTCATACCTTGTATTAGCTGCCCTCCACTCAACTCCAAGACCCCCTGGGGGCTGCTGCCGTCCCCTAACTCCTGGATGCCCTCCTTATCAGGGTCACTTCTCTGACACAGCATGCTGAGCCACTGTCCTGTCAGGAAGGAGGACATTTTTGACTGGTTCATGTCCATATTCTCAACTCCAAGAACAGTGACTGGAACATGGTACATATGCAGAAAATGTCACTTGATGGACTGAATCGCTTTCTGACTCTTGCTATGCTGAACATCCTAAGATTTTTCTTACTTTTCAAGGCCACATGATTCCAGTACTGCAGATTCTGGGATTCCAAGCCCTGTCTCTGCCATGTGAATGTAGCACAATGACCAACCAAGGGAGGAACCAGAGAGTGGCCAGCCTGGACCATTCTCCTGTGAATAAACTCATAAAGAATATGAGGATACCCTGGGGTGTACAAGAATGGGCAAAGGTAGGCGGGAGAGCCTTTAAGAGTGGCAGCTGGGAAGCAGAACTGGAACATGTCCAGGAAGTGCCAGGATAGCCCAATGACACAGGCTGACTGAAGAAACTGCCAGAAGCTAGCAAAATTTGACTGCAGAGGAAGAGCAATGTTTGGTAAAGATTGTGTTTTGGTGTTTGTTATTTCTATGTTTTTAAGAAGGTGTCTTGCTGTGTGTTACCTAGGCAGGAGTATGATCATAGCTCACTGAAGCCTCAAACGCCTGGGATTAAGCAATCCTCCTGCTTTCGGCTCCAGAACAGCTGGGATAACTATACCAATTTTTAAAAATATAATTAAGCTCCAAAACCAAACTTACACTGTAATTCTGGCAACAGAATAATAATCAATATCAATGTTTGATCACTTTCAAAAAAAAATTCAGTTCCTATGTTGCTTGAAACACATAGTGATACTATCCATATGACAACTGAGCTCTTCCTGTGGCACTAATTCTAACTGAGCCCTGAGCATATTTCTTGCCCTTCCGTTTAATCATTTTAAACATATTTTCTTAAAAGTTGCTAAATGGGGTTGGGCACAGCAGCTCACACCTGTAATTCCAGCACTTTAGGAGGCTGAGCGGGGAGGATCAATTGAGGCCAGGAGTTCAGGACCACCCTGGACAACACAGTGAGAACTTCTCACTAAAAAATTTAAAAATTCAGCAGTCATAGTGGAGCACATCTGTACTTCTGGCTACTAAGGAGGCTGAGGCAGGAGGCTTGCTTGAGCCCAGGAGTTGAAGGCTGCAGTGAACTATAGTTACACCACTGCACTGTAGCCTAGGCATACAATGAGATTCTGTCTATTAAATTTTATTTTTGCTGGCTCAGCACCTGTACTCAGTGGCTAGGGCACCTGCCACATACACTGGCAGCCTGGACCTGCTAAACAACAATAACAAATACAACAACAACAACAACAAATAGCCAGGCATTTGTGACAGGCACCTGTAGTCCCAGTTACTTGGGAGGCTGAAGCAGGATGATCACTTGAGCCCAAGAGTTTGAGGTTGCTGTGAGTTGTACCGCCACGGCACTCTACCAAGGGTGATATAGTGAGACTTTGCCTCAAAAAAAAATAAAAAATAAAAAAACATTTTTTTGCTAAATGGAACTACTAAAAATTATGATCAGTAGAGACTTCCTACTATTAGCTTTATATTTTTATATTACCTCTGTGCTTTTAAATATTAGGCTTATATTGCTCCTTCTTGATTTTGCCATTTCAGAATATTGTCTTCTCACTATGGAAGTTAGAGATTAAGCTCTACTTCTTTCTCCCCATGCACATCATGCATGGTACCCTTTTCCAAAGCCCATGCTTCCAAATTTAATTGTATATTTTTTGTTGTTAGATGAATCCTCAGTATTTATGTTGTCATAAATACAATTATTTTCTTATACAAGATTTTGTTTTCCCTAGAGTTAATAGCTGGTTCTTAAGTTTATTCAATTTTCTGTCATCAGTTCAGCTCCTAAAGTTTCGATCTAATATTTGTTTCCTCTGGAGACTTCAAACGCTGCTCGAATTTTGTCAATTCCATCCTTCTGAAGAGCTGGCCGAATGTCATCTGGGTTGGTTGCCGTGCCTCTATGTACATAGCTGTCCACCTGGGCTCTTCCTCTCAGCACTGTCTTAGCTTCAATTACCTTCTATGTTTGACACTGTTTTCTGAATTTTTTTTCTTTCTTTTTTTTTTTATGAGACAGAGTCTTATTTTGTCACCTTCGGTAGAGTGCTGTGGTGTAACAGCTCACAGCAACCTCCAACTCTTGGGCTTAGGCAATTCTCTTGCCTCAGCCTCCCAAGTAGCTGGGACCACAGTGTTTTCTGAATGTTATAATTTCCTCCCTCTTGGTTTATTTCCTCATTTTGCTGGATCACATCTCCAGGATCTTCCCAGAGATCTTGAGAAATGGGAGCACACTAGGTCCTTCTTCTGAGATTTAGCATGTCTGAAAGTCCTTTTCTATTCACACACTTGGTTGACAGTTGGCTGAGTACTGAAGAGTACACTGCATATAATTTTCCTCTAGAATTTTGAAGGTAGTACTTTTCTAGATTCCATTGTTGGGATTGAGCAACCTAAGCCATTCTGATTCCAGTCTTCAAAACTGAAAGTAAGATCATCTCTTTAACCCAGATTTTCTACAAATTCACAATGACATGCCTCGATGTGGATATTTTCACATTTGTGGTAGGTGCTTGATAGGCTCTTTCAGTGTGGAAACCCATATCCTCAATTTCTAAAAAGCTTTTACTGATTGTTTCTTTTCTTCTTTTTCTTTCTTTCTTTTCTTTTTTCTTTTTTTGGAGACATAGTATCACTATGTTGCCCTTGGTAAAGTGCCGTGTCTTCACAGCTCACAGCAACCTCAAACTCTTGGGCTTAAGCTAGGGTGACCAGATGTCCCGCTTTTTAACAATTCGTCCCTCCATGTTCTAAAAAAGTCTCAGTTTTTGGAAAGAACGGGCAGGAGAACAGGAAGGGAATATACGGTTTTCAGCTGCCATGTGGCTATTTCGCCAGGATATGAGTTTTATATTATTTTTGTTAATTTTATAATGTTAAACTGTAATAATAACAAATAACTGTTGAGAAGTGATTATTGAGAACTGCTTATCAAAGTTTGCATTGTTGTGAGGCCCTGCTCTGCCCTGTCCGCTGCCCCGCCCCCCGCCTTGCCCCCGCTCCGGCCCCCCACCCCCTACCCGCGTTGTCCCGCTTTACCAATGTTAAAACCTGGTCACCCTAGCTTAAGCGATTCTGTTGCCTTCGGCTCCCAAGTACCTGGGACTGTACAGGCGCCAACCACAACGCCCGATTTTTATGTTATTGATGTCATTGTTGTTTAGCAGGCCCAGGCCGGGTTCTAGCCCCGGTACGTGTGGCGGGCATCCTAACCATCGAGCTACGGGCTCCGAGCTTGATGGTTTCCTTTTTCCTCTGTCTTAATTCTGTCTGGAACTCCCGCCCCAATATTCCGCCAGCTCCGCAGCAGCCTTGCGCATGCGCACTCCCGCCAGCCCTTCGCGCTTGCGCACTGCGTCGCCACGCCCTTCTTCCGCTGCGCTCTGGCCGCGCGGGCTGAACGGCCTTCCGGAACGCCCCCCGCCTCGGCGCTTCGCCGTCCCTCGGCCAGAAGCCTGCGCCTGGGCCCGCGCGGGAGGAGTGGGGGCTCTGAGGGGAACGGCTACCCCGCCCGCCCCGGTCTCTTTTCCTGGCGGCGGCGGCTTCTTTCGTAGGACAATATGTTCAAGAGAATGGCCGAATTTGGGCCTGACTCCGGCGGGAGAGTGAAGGTCAGTGCCCGGCCCGCGCCCCCTTCTGGGCGGCTCCCCGGGCCGGCTCCTCCCTGCGCGGCGGGGCGGGGCGGGCCGGTCTTGCTTTCCTTCCGCGCCTTCTCTGTCAGTTTGAACCGTAGAGAGCGGAGGGCAAATCAGACCTATTGGGCGAAAAGTTCAGCGTTCCTTGGGGCCAACTTCCCGCCTCGCGTCCGCGCTCCCACCCCCGCCGCAAGACAGCCGCGGAGCGGTGCGGCCGGCGGGGACCTGCGCGAGGCTGCCGGGGGCCGGGAAGGCGGGGCGCACGAGCGGCCCCCGGGGTCCTCCGTCCCCCGGGCTGCCGCCCCGCTGGGTATGCGGATGATGGCGGCAGCGAGGAGAGGGCGAGCGCGTACCCGCGGCTTACGAGTGCGGCCACTGAGCCAGCGAAGCGTGGAAAAGTTCAGAAATTGTGCTGGAGTTAATGGTGCTCGCCACGCCCCAAAGCTACGACCGAGACTGGCAGAGAACACAGCCCAGTGCCTGGCACGTAGGGGACACTGAGTAACGCGAGCTTTAGTTATTAACAAGTAATCACAGGCCGGGCGCGGTGGCTCCCGCCTGAAACCCCAGCGCTGTGGGAGGCCGAGGCAGGTGGATTGCTGAGCTCAGGAGTTTGAGACCAGCCTGAGCCAGAGCGAGACCCCGTCTCTGAAAATAGAGGGGCCTGGTGGAGGCGCCTGGGGTCCCAGCTGCTCGGGAGGCTGAGGCAAGAGAATCTCTTGAGCCCAAAAGTTCGAGATTGCTGTGAGCTGTAACGCTACGGCACTCTACCAAGAGCAATAAAGTGAGAGAGTCTGTCTAAAGAAAAAAGTAATCATAGAGCCTAACATAATGTTTGATATGGCGACAATTTCTCTCACATTTTCCCGGCACGTTAATTTTTAAGATAGACACACCTATTTTTTACCCCTTCTGATTTTCGTTTGTAACAGGACGTTTTATATTTAAAAGAAATCACCTACTTTTGTACCAAAATGGTTAATTTGTAGATTTCTTAGTCTTTATATCATGTTATTTTTCCATAATTTTATTTTATTTCATTATTTACGTTTTTCTTTTTAGAGACAGAATCTCAAGCCGTCGCCTTGGGGTAGAGTGCTTGGCGTCACAGCTCACAGCAACCTCCCACTCCTGGGCTCAAGCGAGTCTCCTGCCTCAGCCTCCCGAGTAGCTGGGACCACAGGCGCTGCCACAATGCCCAGCTATTTTCTTTTTTCTTTTTTTTTGGGTTGTATTGGTAGAATCCCAGGCCGTATTCATACCTGCCACCTCTGGTGTATGTGGCTGGCGCCTTATCCGCTTGAGCTACAGGCACTGAGCCAGAAAGAGGTTTTCTGTTTCTTTTTCTTTTTTTTTTCTTTCTTTTTTTCTCCCCCCTTGCAGTTTTTGGCCGGGACTGGATTTGAACCCACCACCTGCGGCATATGGGACCAGCGCCCTACCCCTTTGAGCCACAGGCCCCGCCCAAGTTTTGTTTGTTTGTTTGTTTTTAAAAGAAAAGAGAGTCTCACTTTTCCCCCCTGGGTAGAGTGCTGTGGAATCACAGTTCATAGCAACCTCCAACTCCTGGGCTTATCGATTTTGCCTCAGCCTCCCAAGTAGCTGGGACAACAGGCACCCCCCACAACGCCTGCCTATTTTTGTTTTTTGGTTGCAGTTGTCATTGTTGTCTAGCTGCTACGGGCTGGCGCCTACCCTCTGAGCTACAGGCGCTGCCCCATAATTTTAATTATAACGCGTGTGTATATATAGCCACCATACATAGTGTTTTTATATCACATGTAAAGTGGGAATTCTTAAAAAATTTCCAAACCTACTGAAATCTGACTGAAAGGAAAGAGAAGCCAAATAAAAATTTATAGTACCACATGCTTTGTAAGCACACATTTTCCCCAAGCTTTGGAGCAAGGTTTTGGCGGGATAGGAAGCTACTTCAGAAAAAGAACATTCGATTTTGGGGAAGAAATTACAGCACATTCCTTTTAATCATGTTGGATTTTAAAGTTTTAAGTTTCTCGTCTGGTGACTAGAAGTTAAACCTGTGGTCTCAAATGCTTCTCCACTAGAAGTGTAAAGTTTCAAAACTGGGGATCGATTTCTCCTTGCTGATTCTTACTTGCTCTTCTTGGCATCTTTTTGCAATTTAGATACATTTCATTCAGAAGGAATTTCTTGAAAAGTGATACCCATTTTATCATTGGTGGCATTGCAAGTCCCTAGCAACACCCTAGTCAGCTATGGGATCTATCAGGCACTCAATGCCTTAATGCCCTTGTACTCAGTCAGGCCTTGAACCAGAAGCCCAATCGGAGGTTCCTACAGAAGCCTCCGTAGCGCTTACTATATAATTAAGTTCTCATACAAACTGCTTCCTTCTTATGAACTAACATTGGTTAGGTTTGTAGGTATTGGATTTAGTAGTTAATTATCCAGCCACAAGTAAAATGTTTCCATTTTGTTCACTACTTTTCCTCATTTCTTATTAATTGTGGTCAGTTACAGTGGCACAGCACTTTTCACATGTAGTATTCTTGCTCTTTGTCCTTCAGATACATTGCTACTATGGAATAGTTGGTTTCAGATTTCGGTCTTTATTTTCATGGAAGTCTGTCAACGCCCCTTGCCTTTACACTTTCAGATGTGATGAGAGACAGGTGTGCACATCTCAGAACTGAGCACACATGTAGGAAGCCTGGCACTGGCCAGTGTTTACCAAGCTTCAGTCATCCAAGTGCCACTTTACTATTTTTGCCATATCTGAATCTGTAATTATGGTAGCAATTATATTTAAATCAGTTCAATTTTTTTTATTTATTTATTTTTTGAGACAGAGCCTCAAGCTGTCGCCCTGGGTAGAGTGTGGTGGCATCATAGCTCACAGCAACCTCCAACTCCTGGACTCAAGAGATTCCCTGCCTTTGTCTCCCAAGTAGCTGGGACTACAGGTGCCCGCCACATGCCTGGCAATTTTTTGGTTGTAGCCATCATTGTTTGGCAGGCATGGGCTGGATTCAAACCCGCCAGCTCAGATGTATGTGGCTGGTGCCTTAGCCGCTGGAGCCACAGGCACAGAGCCAGATCAGTTCAATTTTTAAAAGGCCCCTTCCTACATGTTAATATTTTTACAGTTGTAGATTTGAATTTCTAGTTATAGTTTTTCTAATACTGACTAAACACATAAAATAATAAAACATAAAATGTTTGCATTTACTCTCCTGCTCACAAACTGTCTTTGATGTACGTACCATGTTTTGAGAAACATTACCATAGTCTAGTTAATAAGGACATTACCACCAGAAAATGCCAGTTTTTTTGTTTTTTTTTTTTTAGAAACAGAGTCTGACTTTGTAGCCCTTGGTAGAGTGCTGTGGCATGACAGGTCACAGCAACCTTCAGCTCTTGGGCTTAGGCAATTCTCTTGCCTCAGCCTCCCGAGTAACTGGGACTACAGGCGCCCGCCACAACACCTGGCTATTTTTTGTTGCAGTTTGGCTGGGGCCAGGTTCCAGCCTGTCACCATCGGTATATGGAGCTGGCGCCCTACTCACTGAGCCACAGTCACTGCCTGAAGATGCCAGTTTTTACTGGACAATTTTTATTCTAACACCTAGCTTTCAGATTTGTAAGTAAAGGGCCTTTTGTATTTCTTTTAACAAAATTCTCAATGTGTTGTACGTGATTTAAGTAAAAGCGTTTTCAAAGTGGAAATATTGTGATTAATCTGGTGGTCAGTTATTTGTGTTAATATGAAATGAGGATAAGTGTCTGAAATTGATTTTTGGTCATAACCAAACTCTAGAGCAGTGGTTCTCAACCTTCCTAATGCCAGTGTATTTTCATTGTTACAAAGGGGTCACGACCCACAGGTTGAGAACTGCTGCTAGAGTCTGCAATGGTTAGAATGCCATTCCTTTAAACAAGTTTTCGGGGCCATGTTTTGTTCATTTAGGTAATGATACAATGTTTACTGGTTTTTAAATTATTTTTCTTTTAGGGGGTTACTATTGTGAAACCAATAGTTTATGGTAATGTTGCTCGGTATTTTGGAAAGAAAAGAGAAGAAGATGGGCACACCCATCAGTGGACAGTGTATGTAAAACCGTATAGAAATGAGGTAGGCACTAGTTTTTTCTATAACTTTTTTAGAAACTACAGTTTATTTTGCTTCTAAATAAATTTTAATATTCTCTCATAGTAACTTTCTGATTATCAAAGTTGCCCATTGTAGAACTGTTACCAAAATATTTTGCAAAAATCAAGTGAGAACTGTCATCTTCACGTAATTATTAGTGGAAATCACTTTTCCAAAAATGCTTTCTAATTAAAATTAAGGTAACAAAGACTATCATGTTATGAACAAGGTACAAGAACACCTTCTAACATCACATCTTAAATTAACGTATTTAATCCGGTGCTTCTATCAGAGAATGTGAAAGTACTGCTGTGTAACCTGGTTGCTGATAATTGTCTTTTGCTGCTGAATTTCCAGTGCTTGGAACATAGCAAGTACACAGGTATCTAACAATATTTATTGTATAAAAAAGTTGCTTTTTTTTTTCCCTAGAAACAGAGTCTCACTTTGTCACCCTTGGTAGAGTGCCAGTGGCATCACAGCTCACAGCAACCTCCAGCTCTTGGGCTTAGGCGATTCACTTGCCTCAGCCTCCCAAGTAGCTAGCTAGGACTACAGGCACATGCCACAATGCCCTGCTATTTTTTGTTTTCAGTTTGGCTGGGGCTGGGTTTGAACCCACCACCCTCGGTACATGGGGCCAACGCCCTACTCACTGAGCCACAGGCGCCACCCTAAAAAAAAATTGCTTTATTTAAACCCTTTAAAGTCTACACCAAAACCTGTATATGAATGTTCATAGCAGCCAGAAAATGGAAATAACCCAAATGTCTTAACGACTGATGAATGAATAATTTGTATATCCAAATAACTGAACATTATTGGGCAATAAAAAGAAATACTGATATGTACTACCACATGGGTGAACTTGGAAGTATTATGCTAAGTGAAAGAAGGGCCACATGTTACATGATTCCATTTTTGTGAAATGTCCCAAAAAAAAGAAATGTCCAGAATAGGCAAATCCACAGATACAGAAAATATATTAGTGGTTGCAAATGGGTGGGGGGAGAGGGAATAGGAAGTGAATGCTAATGGGCATAGGGTTTCTTTTTGTTTAATAAAAATCTAATAAAATTGATTGTGGTGATGGTTGGACAACTCATAAATATATTAAAAACCATTAATTGGTACATTTAGGTAAATTGTGTGGGATGTGAATTATATCTCAACAAAGCTATTATAAAACCTCCAGTAACTCGGTGTTGCCCTCATGGTAAAGTTCATAATCTGTGTGTTTTAGAGATCCTGCCCCGCTTCCCCTTTCTTACTCTGCAGCCTCAACACTAGTGTGTGCCTCATCACACTCTGCCAATACTAAATCAGTTTTCCAAAAGAACATTCTTAAATGTCTCTGCTCATTCACTTTATTCCTGTCGATCCCTTAGGCCTTAGTTCAAGCATCATTTTCTTCGAAACTACTTTCTCCACTTCCAGAAGACTAAATTAAGTGCCTGCCCCTCTTACGGACTTACATCCTCACAATGCAGTATAACAGTGACAAAAGCAGGGTGTTAAGACATCATTACATATTCCAAGGTTTTTTTTTTTAGAAATTAAATGTGTGTAGATTAAGCACATAAAAAAATTCCTGAAAGCAAATAAATAAGTTAATAAACATTATTATTGAGTGTGAATGCTTTTTGAGTTGAATTTTAAATTGAATGTGAACATGTTTCTTTTTGTGTAATTATCTTTTCAAAAACAGACCTTGAGCAACAGAAGCCCTTTTATGTGTTAGAACTAATGAATGTGTTTCAAAATAAAATGGAGGCATTTTTATACTCAGTGAATATGCCTTATTCTTCGAACTTGACTGTAGATTTGCCTTGGTTTAAAATGTGGGTGTTTCTATAAGAATACCTGAAGTAGGTGTTGCTCTGAAAGGCTGGAGTAGAGCTTGGACATGACTTCCAATGTAGAGACAGGGTTTTGCTCTTGTTCAGGCTAGTTTTGAACTCCTGAGCTCAAGCAATCCACTGGTCTTGGCCTCCCAGAGTGCTAGATAACTCTAACCAGCTTCTTCTGGCCAAGACATTCTTTCTTTTTTTTTTTTTTTTTT